GGGGAGGTTTCTAAATCCCAAGTAAATGCCTGACTACAGAGACTACTGTTATCTAGTACACGTCTCATGATACTGTCCTGAGCCTAATCTAGTGCCGGAAAAGGTACTATTAATGGCGCCTTGTTCCGTCGGCCTATAGCAAGTGCCAGATAAGGCATACTACCCCTGCATCAACTCTGGACAAAATGGCGTGTGCGCTAGCGACTACAGCGACTGCACTTATAACGCAACTTCACCGTCAGCTCTTGAACCTCTTCCTTCCCCTTCTCTTTTCCCCCAGGGAGTAGAGACCCGGAGGAGCGGGATCCGACGTTCTCACAATGCCCTTCACTAATGGGGAGGGCAATATGCTCCACTTCGACCAGAAGCAATTTGACTTCAACCTTCAATTCGAGGCTCTCTTTTTCTCGATTACTCCTTCCATTCTATTTATTCCATCATCGCTATGGCGAACTCTAGCGGGGATACGCAGGCCCGTCGTGGTGAATGCACCCGTCTTGCAGTTCATCAAAATAGTACGTCCTCTATTACTGGGTAAACGGTTTCTGCCCACTGACTGCTTAGGGGGCCATCGCAATCTACGCTGGCTTAGAACTTGCTCTCCTGTTTCTCACCGCGGTCGGCTCCTTTCACATTAGCCGCATGTTTATCGCTTCTTCCGTTCTCCAGCTGCTATCAGCCCTGTTCATGCTGACAGTAAGTATGGTGGACCACAGCCGCAGCCCTAAACCCTCCATGCTGCTGAACAGCTACTTGTTTCTTACTCTACTCCTGGACATTGCCCGGGCAAGGACTCTATTCCTGTCGTCAGACTACAACTCCGAGATCACATATAGCAATTTATTCTGTGCATCGGTCGGGCTGAAGACCGCCATCTTGGTGCTAGAGGCCTGCCAGAAGGCGAAATGGGTAGTCTGGGATGCAACGAAACACAGCCCCGAGGAGACGAGTGGAATATTCTCCCTAGGTGTTTTCTTCTGGCTGAACAAGCTCTTCTTGGCTGGGTATAGACATACCTTCACCATCGAAAGCCTTTACCCCCTTGACAATACCTTCGACGCACAAGCCCTGCATGAGGAATTCGCGCGAAAAAATGGACTATACCAAGCTAAAGGGGGATAGATTCGGCCTTCTGAAGGTGCTAGTACGTACATTGTGGGTGCAACTACTCCTTCCTATTCCTCCGAGGGCGGCTTTGATTGCGTTCTACATCTGCCAACCTCTATTCATCGAAAGCCTCGTCACGTATTTGTCTCAATCGGAGCCCGGTCCAGATGTGGGATATGGGCTTATCGGCGCTGCCATACTCATCTATTCCGGGATTGCAATCTCGTACGGCTTGTACTGGTACTGCCACCACCGACTGCGGACAATGGTCCGCTCCATCCTAGTCACTGAGACGTTTAAAGCCGCCACCAGAGCTCGGATGGGATCAGGTGATGATAACGCTGCGCTGACACTTATGAGCACCGATATGGAACGCATCTGAATGGGGCTTCGCTTCGTGCACGAGACATGGGCGAGCTTGATTCAGGCTGGTCTCGCTGCCTGGCTGCTCTATCGGAAACTTGGGGTCGTGTTCGTTGCTCCTGTAGGCGTGGTGGTAGTCTGCTTCGTTGGATTAGGAATTCTAATTAACTACACTGAGGACTCACAGCGCTCTTGGATGTCTGGGGTTCAGAAGCGAGTCGGGCTTACAGCCACCGTCATTGCCAGCATGAAATCACTCAAGGTATCCGGTCTTGCTGGTCCCGTGACGGAGTATGTGCAGCAGCTGCGTGTCGATGAACTCGCCGCTGGTGCCTCAATACCGCAGGATCATGATCATCGCCGCTGTCTTCGCATTTATACCGCAGTTGATCAGCCCTCCGTTAACCTTCGCGTTTGCCCAAAAAACGCTGAATGCCTCGACCATGTTCACCGGTCTTTCATTCCTGACTTTGTTGACTCAGCCGCTGTCGCAGCTCTTCCAGTCCGTCCCAGAGCTGGTTTCAGGCTTGGCCTGCCTGGGTCGGATTCAGGCATTTCTGGAATTAGAGCCTCGTCAGGACTATCGGCAGCCCCTGGTAGAAGACCAGAGTGGCGGCTTGGAGAAAAATTCCAATTATATCGTCATCCGAGCCGCGAGCTTTGGATGGAAACCAGACAAGTTTGCCCTGAATAATATCCATGCTCAAATTCCCACATCGTCCCTCACGATGGTCGTCGGTCCAGTTGGCTCAGGAAAATCCACATTCTGCAAGGCCCTTCTAGGTGAGATGCCCTTCAGCCAAGGTAGCATCGCGATGCAAACTTCCCCACGCCACGTCGGCTTCTGTGAACAAACTGCTTTTCTGTGGAACGGTACAATCCGAGAGAACATCGTCGGATTTGCCCCTTTTGACCGCGAGCGATATGACCAAGTCATTGAAGCCACTTCCCTGCGCTTCGACCTTGCTACCCTGTCCCAGGGGGACCAGACGAACATCGGGTCGGATGGTGTAGCATTATCGGGCGGGCAGAAACAGCGTCTGTCTCTTGCGCGAGCACTATACCTTCCTTCCAACCCTTTGGTCTTGGATGATGTGTTTAGCGGCCTGGACGCTGATACTGAGGAAAAAGTCTTTCGACAGGTCTTTGGATCAGATGGTCTCCTGCGACAACGGGGATCAACGGTGGTTCTGTGCACCCATAGTGTTCGGCATCTCCCAAGCGCGGACTACATCATCGTCCTCGGAAACGGCAGCGTTGAAGAGCAAGGCACCTTCATTGATTTGTCCACCCGTCCGGGTTATGTTCGGCGTTTGAAGGTGGGACTAAAGCAAGAGGGCGAGGATAATAATATCGCTGACGATGAGCCTGGTCCTGGTCCGTATCAGGAATATAAAGACCAGGCGGAGGCTGACAAGAAACTCCAACATGAGATCACTGTCAACAGCACGCAATCATCCACCCCAAACACCCCAGGTGTGGCCGCCGCACAGCAGGTAGGTGAAGCCACCGTCTATAAGCTATATCTCAAAAGCATGGGATGGTTTGTGGCGGCTTGTAGTCTTTTCTTTGCAGCCCTGTGGGGTCTGTTCACCAATTATCCAACGATCTGTGCGTCTCTGCCGCTCCCCTCAATCTCCAATGTCCTTAATAACTCATTGTATCAATGCAGGGCTCACATACTGGAGTGACGCGACCGACTCCGTCCATCCTGCGCACTCCCACTCCTACTATGCGGGCATCTATGCCCTCCTGCAGGTCTGCGCCATCCTCGCCCTCCTCCTCCTCCTAGGGGTAACGCTCTTCATTATCTCAGTAAAGAAAGCCGGCGCCAATCTCCACCAGCAAGCCTTGCGTACCCTGATTCGTGCCCCGCTCGCCTTCTTCACTAATACCGACACCGGAGTGGTCACGAATCTCTTCTCTCAGGATCTCAACCTCATCGACACTGAACTCCCCGAGGCGACCCTCAACACCCTCTTTTGCGTATTCCAGTCGATTGGCCAAGCCGCCGTGATGCTTACCTCGTCCGTCTACCTAGCCATCAGCTACCCGATCCTGGGCGCCTTGCTCTACTTCGTGCAGAAATACTACCTCCGTACGTCGCGGCAGCTACGATTGCTCGACCTGGAGGCCAAGAGCCCGCTGTACACGCATTTTCTTGACACTCTCAAAGGGATTGCCACGCTGCGCGCCTTCGGATTCGTCCCGGAGGACATCCACAAGAACGCCCGTCTAGTGGACTCCAGCCAGCGCGCGGCGTATCTCCTTCTTATGATCCAGGAGTGGCTGAACCTGGTGCTTAATCTTGTTGTGATGGTAATCGCGGCGGTCCTGACCACGCTGGCCGTCCGGCTACATTCCAACTCGGCCTTCGCCGGTGCATCCATGTACTCGCTCATGACCTTCGGCGAGAGCCTATCCGGGATCGTGATTTATTACACCCGACTCGAAACCTCCATCGGCGCGATCGCACGACTGAAGACCTTCAACGAGACCGTCAAGCCAGAGGACCGTGACGGTCCCGGAGAGGAGGACATCGTCCCAGACACAAACTGGCCGAATCGCGGGCTGGTCGAGTTGCGCGGTGTATCCGCCCAGTACAAATCCACCACTCATAGCGTGTCTGAATCTGACTCTGAGTCCAACTCCAACTGCATGGCAACAACTTCTGGTGCCACCACTACTGAGCCACAAACCTTAGCCTTGAGGAACATCACTTTAACCATCTCCCAAGGGGAAAAGGTCGCCATTTGCGGCCGCACCGGCAGCGGCAAGTCCAGCTTCCTCGCTCTCCTGTTGAAATTACTCGATCCACTTTCCTCTCCTCCAATTGACCATGAGAGCAGCAGTCTCAATGATGACCAAGGTCGTCAGAGCGCTCCGGTCTTGATCGACGAACTCCCACTGCACCGCATCCACCGCGCGACTCTCCGCCAACGCCTCATCGCCGTCCCCCAGGACCCCGTTTTCCTGCCCGACGGCTCCTCCTTCCTGGCGAATCTCGACCCAACCAACACTGCAACCCCGGCGGAATGTCAGAAAGTTCTAGAAGCGGTCCGGCTGTGGGAATTCGTGCAAGAACGGGCAGAGGGGCTGCTCGCGCCGGTCACGGCGGGGACTTGGAGCGCTGGGCAGAGGCAGCTCTTCTCGCTGGGACGGGCAGTCCTCCGAGCTAAGATTCGCCAACGTGCACAGTCTTTATCCTTCCCCGACGATGCGGGATCCAACAATGCAGCGCAAGGGGGGAGGGGAATACTCCTCCTCGATGAGGTAAGTTCCAGCGTGGACCGCGAGACCGAGCAGATGATGCAGGAGATCATTCGGGCAGAGTTTCGGGCGTACACCATCATCGCGGTCAGCCATCGGCTCGAGATGATCATGGACTTTGATCGGGTAGTGGTAATGGACCGCGGGGAGGTCGTTGAGGTAGGGAATCCGGTAGCCCTAAAAGAGGCGTCTGGTACGAGATTCGGGGAATTGGTGGCCGCCGCTGGGGCGTAGGCAACTTCTCATTATTCTTCTTAATTTGACTACTAGCTTCTACCCAGGCACAACTTGATTTAGTTTTAGATGGAATCGTGACCGTCCTCATCACAGGGGCAACTTCCGGCCTCGGCCTCGCAGCCGCTGTACACTTCGCGAACCTGGGTGCTAACCTCGTCCTTACCACGCGAAGCATAGCCAACGGCCACACAGCAGCCGAACATGTCGAGGCTTGTGCGGGGATCGTCGGCCAGGGAAATATCCAGGTTCTAGGTAGATTTAATCAGGTATGGCTAACATAGGTCTGATAGGGCAAATACATTCAGTCCCTATTCACAGAGGACGAGTACCGAAGGTATGACTGGTCCGGCTCCGTTCACCCCCTATCTTGTTGTGCCTTGCCCGATCAGTTAATATGTCAGAGACTCAGTCTATCGGCACCCTGTCTGCGTAGTCAGACTGCCCTGAAGGCGAGGGAGATAGTCTGGAAAGAAATTATTACGCATCTGATAGAAAAGGTTCCTGTTTTGCAAGGGCTGAAGGTCGCAGTGGGCGGTCATTAGATGAAGACACACGTTGTATGCACCATGGAATTCGTTGGCGGCCCTGCGGCCTCAGTAGCTAGGCTGCCGCTCATCGCCCACCTTGGTGGCCTACGGCGGGTAATAGCGGCCATTGGGTAATAATGATTTCTGGTGTTGAAGTATGCTCATCAGCCACAACTAATTCACAATGAGTAGCAGTATCTGCGGCTATACTCCAAAGGTGCACTGCCTCGGCCGATTTGATGTTCCTCCCTTCCCGCCCCTCGCCGAACCGACCAATCAGAACCCTCCATTTCTAATAAACCTTCCTATATAGTTCAAAGTAAACAAGTGACTGGTGCCTTCGGGCATTTGGTCAATTTGAAACGATACAGAGAAGATTAGCATGGCCCCTGCACTAAGGATGACACGCTCAATCAAAGAGAAGCTACCAGTTTTTTTTGCAACTTTTACAGATGCCTTTTGAGAGGTATGCTGTTTTTGAGGTCTCGGGTGTGGGTCGTAGAGGGAGGGGGTTCGAGTCGCGGTTGGATCTGTCGTTCTTTTTATCTCACCCCTCTCCTCCCTCTTTTTGCTTATGGGACAGTTGGTCAGCAGCACTGAATGGGGTGATGTTCAGGGTCGCTGGGTTTCCTAATAATATATGGGACCAGAAGAAGACATTAAATTTAATTAATCCTTCATAATGGAGCTTGTGATATGCACAGGCGTGATGGGGATGATTACAATTCAAGGGGTCCATTGAACTTTTCCTTGCGATGCATAAAGGTGGTCTACAATAAGCGCAGTCAAAAAGGAAGGGTACAATAAGCCGTCATCCTTGTTCAACTTCAGCTGAGCTGATCAGGATCATGGTAATGACCGACAGGAACGTCCCATCATTCTTGTGTGCATGGCTTCCTAGTATGAATCGCCACAGCCCAGGTTCCTGCATTTAGTAGCACGGACTAAAGAATCCTTTTGTGTTTTACACACACATAGTCAGGGCTTAGTGACGGGCCTTATACCGAGGTGGGCAGTGCCACCGTGGGGCGTGGACGGCAAGTTTAATTGTCGTACGTAGGCCTGCGCGGGGTAGTTAATTAAGACTTTTGGAGTAAGGTAAGAGATGGTGGCTTTATACTTGCATTTTAGAGGTTATTCTCGAAATATCCGCTCCGACATATCCGCTCTGGGCTGCATTCTTTTTGTGATCATTGAGGTTGAATGGTTGGTAGGGTGATGACAACTCATATGTGTTTTTAAACCCTCGCCGACGCTGTAGATAGAGGGTAATTTTTCTCGCGCTGGTGGAGATACTCATTCTTTAAAGGGTCCACCATGCACATACCTTGATGTTCGGTGTGACAAACCCTTTTTTACTATTCAGGACGGTGGACGCGCCGAGCCGAATTTTAGGAAGGGCTTGAATCGAAACGACTCAATGCCACCCTCGGCGGAGGCTACACCTTATCAGGCAATCCTCGCTGGAGCATTAGAGCAAACATCTCCTTTTTCTGGTGGATATAGGTTGATGCACGTTATTCGGAGCGGCTTGGCTGATTGTGAAGGAAGGCCATCGCCGAACTCTGGATTGGAAATTACATCCGAGCCGTGCAAGGTAGTCTGTTGCCGGGAAATAAATCATGTCTTTTGGTATAGAGTCATGGTCGTTGATGATCAGTTCTACGTGAACGGAACTGGGTTAGCCTGCGGGATTATAATCACACTGCCTTATAGAGTTGTAAAATGAAGGTTCCTGCCATGCGACGCTCGGTCATGTTGGCCTGAATGATCGACATGAAGTATTCAGTTTAGTTGATCTGAACACTGCACAAAAACGGACACTAGGGACACTTGGTTGCTTTGAATCATGACAGGCTCCGCGTCGCTTCTAGTTATACTATCCGCTTGGGATGGCTGCTTTGAACTAAGAAGCATCCTTGCAAAGCAGCCAGAGGCAATCGGAACCTTCTATGGGATCAGATGGACTCGATTGCTACTATATATATACATAGTTCTGCTCGATTCTAGGCAACAATATTAGTTTGTGATAACAAGCATCCAACTCCGAATCTTCTTATTGATAACACTTACAATAATCCGAAGTTGGACCCTCAAACCCATTGAGGGACTGAATAAGGTGACGGGCTGAACTGTCCCTTCGGTGGAACGAACCCACTATAGACTAGTAAATGATGGACATGCTCGGCTTCCCATTTGGTGCGGGTGGAGAACGGCGGCCATCCGTCGACGGTCATAAACGCGCGTTGAAGGATGCTGCAGAACGGCCCATGTTGATTAATGCCAACTCTAATCAGATAAGGCTCCGTGGATGGGAATTAAAGGGCAGGGCAGAAGACGGCACGGTGGAAAATGTCATTGCCATTCATCATCATGCTTATTTATAGTGGGGGACAGACAACCGGGTTCAACTATTATTTATTCCCTACTGTTTCTCGTGGCAGCTGGCCTGCTTTCCATCCGCCTTGTTCCATGAAGTTGAGCTTAACTTATCCCCTGTTGTACACTTTTCTTTAAGCCTGTCTGGCCTTTATTCTATTTATATTATTTAGTCTGTCAGCCACTTCAGCCGGTATTCTATCGCAATACCCTGCTGATGTCATTCCAGTCAATATCATACTACAATGCAGGTCCCGGTATTCTGGCACTCAATTGGACGGCGGCGGCCATCGCCATCCTAGTGATGATCCTGCGAGTCATTGCCAAACTCCGCATTCGACATTATGCAGTGAATGACACGGCTATGTTATGTGCGCTGGTTGGTTCCACCAAATTGGCGAAAGTCATGTTCAGCTGATTAATGCGCATCAGGTACTAGCTCTGGCGGCATCCATCATGATCACTTTGGCTATTGCCCATGGCTACGGGCGACACTTTTGGTACCTGAGCCAGGCAGATCAGGTGCTGGCCTTGAAGTATTACACGGGCTTCCAGTGTCTGTCAATAATCGCCACTGGCGCTGGAAGAGCTGCCTTTACGCTTTACTTGTTGAATATCCTACGTCAAGAGAGGTATTTGGGATGGATTCTGTGGTTCATCTTTGCGCTGCAGATCATCATCAATATTGTCTCGGTGGCTACCATCCTTGCGCAGTGTCAGGATGTTGACTCTCTGTGGGATGTGCGTGTGAGCACGACATGCTGGGATCCAAACGTCGAGCGTATCTATGGCTATGTGCAGTGCTGTATGTTGATTGACCCAACTAGAAAGAAAGAGGACACTGACAGGTTTTATAAAGCGATCAATACTGCTTCCGATCTGTTCCTTGCCGTCTTCCCAACCTACACTTTCTGGAGCCTGAGCTTGAAACTGCGCGTCAAGATTAGCCTCGTCGTGTTGATGGGCTTTGGTTTAGTGTTCGTATTCTTTCGAGAAATGGCCAGCATATAATCTCAGATCGCTAACTACACACTCACAGAGCTATGGTGGCCTCGATCATGCGAATCGTCCACCTGGGATCTATCGCTGAGCGTGTTGACCCAACCGCAGTGACGGTGCAACTCACTCGATGGGCGCTGGCGGAGTGTTACCTGGTTATCATCACGGCCTCTATGCCATGCATTCGGTCCCTGATTATCGCGTCTGTCCGAAATATCTCGAGTGGCAACCGTTCGCGAGTAGTCGGATCACAATACAAAATCAGTCCGCCAATTCCCAGTCGCGCAGAATACAGCACCTGGGCGGATGCACCGCCACCACACAGTCGAGAATATATTCTGAGCAGCTATCCTATGGAGCGGGAACGGATTGGTCGGCGCGCAATCACCAAACAGGTGGATATCACGGTGATCAGAAATCGCTCGAGAAGCACGAGGCACGGGTGACTATTGCGGGTAATGATGAGTTATATATATATATATATTTTATGTCTGGTATTACTACCAGTGGTTATGTGTGATGGACTGCGATGAATGATATATATTCACCCTACTATGATACTAGTACTGTGTGATGATGATATGACAAATAGGACCCAGATCGGTGGTATGAATGCTTGTCGCCTTTCAATCTTCGGGTACACCGGACCCCTAATATCCCTGTTGTGGTCAACCCCAAAGACCAGCCATGGTTCTAGGCACTCAAGGCCGTTGATTGCCGAATGCCGGCCAGTTCCTCGGCGTGGATGTGGAGAGACGGGAGGCGGGCGATCCGTGGCGACTCTCCACCACTTTTCTCCCCAACAAGCGTTCACTAACCCAAACCCCGGCTTGCGGGCTTATCTTTTGCAGTGCCGAGGGCCGAGCAACTTGCTCCCTGCGCTCTCTTAAACAGCGGTCTATCATTCCATTCCTCTCTCCTTCCTTCATCCCTCACTGACGGGCGCATATACAAGAGACCATCTCCCCTCCTTCTTATTTTTACCTTCGTGATCGTCCATTCCTGTACAATCCTGCGCCATTAATTCCCCGATCTCCCTCTTCTCCCCTTCCCCGGCCTTTTTCCCCGCACAACTCCGCCATGCCTGTCTCC